GGGGGGGGGGGGGGGACCGGCGAGCGCGTGGTCATATACGGCCGCAAGTCGTCGGGGGGCATTATTCTTGTGCTTCAGAGCGCAATAGGGACGCCGCTGCTCCAAGGAACGGAGGGGCGCGGTCGCGCGCGCGCGCATGCATTTGGCCGATGATGAATCATATGCAACACCCAGCCCCAAGGGCAGACCAAGTCGGAGTTTATGGGCGAGGCAAGCCGGCCCGGAATAAGAACGCCATGGGGGAGTGGGGGGGGGGGGGGCGGTAAAAACGTCAAGGGGGAACTCCCTCGCAAGGCCGGTGGCCTGGGTCAGCGGGGGGGGGGGAGAGCGCCGCGCGCGGGGCGTGGGCGGGGGAACAGCACGAGATGGCGCGCGGCCAGGCTCGCTTGGGCCAACCCATGCGCCCCATGGCGCGGGCGCACACACCTTCGGCGGCACGCGGCCAGCAGGGGCGCCCGAGGGCCCGAGAGGGGCCCGTGGACAGGAGCAACAGGGAGTCACCGGTCGCCCTCTTGCCCGGGAAAACAAACACACCTTCACCAGGCTGGCGGGGCGAGTCCACCTGCTGGGCATCCCGGGACAGACCGTGGAGCCCGCGACTCACACATAAGGGGGCGCGACACGCGCTCACGCTGTGTTGGCCGGGAGTCGGTCTCAGATGCATACCGGCCGGGAGGCAGGGGAAGGAATTCCAGCACCCAAGTGTGCAGGGTAACACGCGTCAAGAAGCGGCATGGTGCGCCTGAAGCGGCAAGCTCTCCTCCCTTCATGTATCGCCTAGGGTCGGGGAGGGGAGATGGACACACAGGATGCCCCCGCAGGCCAGGCCTCGGCCAGCCAATCGGCACGGGCAGAGGGCGGCTGGTCGGCGAGCAGCAGCCTCCGCGTAGGGCAGACGCCCAGCGAGGAAGAAGCCGCCGGGGTGCGCAGGAGAAGCAACAAGGCTGCCCGATGCAGGGCCCCCGGGCACTTGAGCGAACAACATGGCGGCCTTCCCAGGGACACAATTAAGGGACCCACACGGAGGGCAATATAGGGGCATCAAGGGGCACACGCGCTCGTGTGCTCGCGCACCGGGCCCTCCCCTGGCAAAGGGGCCGTGTCCTTGTCGGAGGCGGCGCCCGACGCGACGCGGCGGGGCCAAGGAGACGCCTCGAGTACCCGGAGCCGGCGCGGCAAAGGATATCCGGCGGGGGGGGGGGCATACCGGGGACCGGCGGCCTCCATATTCCGCGCCGAGGCGGGTATGTTGGCGAGCGAAAAATGCGCCGCAGAAAAGGACGGGGGATGACAGAGAGAGGCGGAGAATGTGCTGCTGCTGTTGCTGCCAACCAAAAGACGCACGCGGCTCGGGGAACTTTTGCCGCCGATTTGCCTGCGCATCCCGATTGGTCTGCTTGATGGTCCGGGGAGGGGGAGGGCGGGGCGGCGGAATCAAATGCCCCGGGATTCGGATTGAAGGAACCCCTCCGGTTCACACGCTGTGATCGCCCCGGGGGGGGGGGGAGGGGGGCAGGGCGGGGAGCCAGAGAACATTGGGCGGGAAGGGCCTATTTTTGCGCGCTCATTTGAAGGAGCGCCTCCGGGGGTGGGCGGGCGCAGCAGCGACTCCCGGGAAGGACCGTTGAGTCCGCGGTAATTGTGCTTCTAATAAGCCAACCCGCAGGTTGAACGGCAGCCCTTCCAATGGCAAGGATGCCCCCCTCGCCCCTTCACACCGGCAAGGCACCCCCTCCTGCGCCCGCGAGTGTCTGGGCGCGCCCGCGTCCCCTCCCCCCCCCCCGTGCACCGGCGCCCGTTCCGCCGGGCCCCCGGGGGGCGCGGGGCGGGAGGGCGGGAAAGTTGGGAAACACCGAGACCTCGCGAAGATTGCCATATTGTTGTTCTCCCGGCCTCGCGCACGGGGCCATGTGATACGGGGGTCAGCAGGGGGCCATTGAAATACGCGGAGGCCTACGTTATTTTCCTCTATATGTGCGTGTGGAGAAAAGGAAAGGGGCCTGCCCCCGCCCTTCGATCAATTACCACGCCGGTCTTCTCCCCCTCTTCCGGCCCCCCGCGCCCTAGCTCTCTGTCTCTGTGTCTCTCTGTGTCTCTCTGTGTCTCTCTGTGTCTCTCTGTGTCTCTCTGTGTCTCTCTCTCAGGGCGTCGGGGATTAGGGGAGTTTGGCATCCATCCTCGGTCCTCATCTTGAGCGGGAGGGGGGGGGAGGCGGGGGAGACAGAATTACACAGACAGATTGGAAAAAAGTATACACGCCCAACTCGGCGCCACGATTATGCACCACCCTGTCCCTCCACACCACACAAACACCGCTGTCTGGCCCAAGTGGCCTGGACACCTGTGCGTGCCCATGCAACGAGGCTCTCTTGTCCAAGGATCATCCCTTCCGTTCGCACTTCACAAAAAAAGCAGCATTATCCACAGGTAAAACGCAAACCGGCTCCACGCCGAGAGAGAGAGAGAGAGAGAGAGAGAGAGAGGGAGAGAGGGAGAAAGAGGGGCTCTAAATGACCAGATTGAAATCGGGAACAAGAGGAGGAGGAAGGGAGGAAAGCAGGGGAGCACAATGCACGGGGATATGGGACATTGGTTTGTTGTTGATGTTTATGGTGGATATATGTATATGGATTGTACACAACAAGAGGGGGGGGGGGGGGGGGGGGGGGGGGGCACACAAGAAGGAGGACACACGAGTAGTGGCATGGAGAGATAGAAGGAACGGGGACAAGGCGCGCACATGTGGATGAGCTTATAAAATCATGCACATATAAACACTCACACACACATACACACTAGTTGGAAGAGTTCAGGAAATCCATCAAGGACACCTGATTCCGGCGACGCAGCTCGGCAGTCAGCTTGTCAGTGATCGAGAGGAGCTCCGTCAGTCGGGGAAGACCGGCCTTGCGGAACTCCTTGGTGTAGGAGGAGACGAAGTCGTGCAGATGCGCCGCCTCCAGAGCCAGGTCGATCGGGTACGTTACCGAGGCCTCTATGCTTGGGCCGATGTTGTCGAGTTTCTGCAGGCCGAAAGGGCGTGCACAAAAGGAGCGAGGGAGAGGCGGGGGGAGGGTGTCAGAATGGGGGGAGCAGTGTGGGGAGGGGGGGGCAGGGGGGGCGGGGCGGGGCGGGGGAGGTGCACACTCGTGCCAGCATGCACACAAGAAAGGCAGATGCCCGCGAAATGCCGCAGTCACGCACAGAAACGTAGTCGATGAAGTCCATCATGCCATGAGTGTTATCCTGGAGGAAGGAATTGAGCGGCTGCATGTAAGCCTCCTTGACATCGAAAGAGCCGATGTTGGCCATAGTCTGGATGGTCTTGGCCACAAGCATGAGCGTCCGCCGGGGACGGTCAGCCGGGTGATCGGACACCAGGCCGAAGAGCTTCGGCGTGAGGATGGCCGCGCAGAAGAGCCGCAGGAAGATGAAGGCGCTGACCACCGAGTACCGAGGGGCATTGCCATTGGCCGAGACAGTCTCCGATCCGAAGCGCTCGATACTGGCCAGCTGTAGCGAGTTGAAGAGGACACGAAGCTCGCTGTTGTGGGAGCAAGGAAAGCCCGAGAGAGGGGGCAGGGGGGGGGAGGGAGTCATTGACGATGGCGAAAGGTGTCAGTGCTCCATAGAGGTGGGGAAGGGATGGATAAGGAAGCAAAGAAAGAGGGAGAGAGAGAGAGAGAGGGAGATAGAGAGAGATCCGGCCTGAGGAGAAGGGCAGGCGAAAGGAGATCCGGCAGAGGGGGAGGGGGGCAGAAAAGCGAGGGGTGGGGAAGCCACAGGAGACATTATTAACACGCACTATGGGCAACGAGAGCGCGACTGGTAGATGGCCGTCCAGACGGTGTTGACCAGCTTCTCGACCTTCTCGAAGTTCTTGCGCGCGTCATCCGGGTTGCTGAGCTTCTGCGGGTCCATCTCGTAGTTGTTCTGCGGCTTGGCACAAATATCCCGGATGATGGGGCCGAGGGTGGAGTCCAGATACTCGAAGCCCACCAGCTTCATGAAGTAATCCACGGCCTTGGTGGCCAGGGAGTTGCCCCGGAAGAGGGTGTTCAGGGTGTCGGCATTGAGGACCTCATGCACACAAATGCTGATCAGCCACTCGGTGGCCTTGCCACGTGCCTGGTGGATGCGAGTCAGGTTGACGGCCACATGCTCGAGCTGCTCCGGCGCGCGGGCCAGCGCGAAGAAGGTCTGCGGGTCGGCCTTGTTGTACAGGTGGTCCAGCATCTCGTCATACTCGGCCACCGGGAGAATGGTCAAGGGCAGGATGCGGGCACTGGCGCGGAGCTCGCCGGCCGGGCCGCCACTGGCACCGCCGGCTGCCCCGCCACTCAGGCTGAAGGGCAGGCAGCGCATGGCCGCATCAGCGGTCCGGGCATTGGACTCCGGGTGGAGATCCTCATCGGAAATGGTGACCCGGGCAATTTCGGCATCACGCGTCAGCCGCTGGTGGCTGCGCAGAACAAAGGTCACCCCCTCGATCTCCGGGATGTCATGGAAGACGAAGGACTCGCCCCAGAAGGGAGAAGTGACGCGCTGTGAGCGGGACGTCACACCGACCATCTCATTGCCGAGGAAGATCTCGCAATAGTACTCGCCGGAGGGGAGGTTGCGCGCTTCGCGCACATCCACATACAGGGTGGAGTAGGCCCGGAGGTCTTCCTTGCCGTAAACCTCGCGTGCCGGCAGGAAGGTCTTCATGTTGAGGACCCAATCGTCCCGGTCATTGGGGCTATACCCAGACAGCAGGAGAGTGCCCTTGTCTTGGGTGGAGATGGAGAAGACATTCCGCCGGGTGGTGATCGAGTCATGGACATAGGCGATGGAATAGCGCTTCAGTTGGGACAGATCAACTGCGGCCACGGGCCGCGTGGCCCGGGCAGCCATGGAATCGCTGCCGGCTTCGGCGGACCCGGCCGCCCCGGCGGCCGCCAGTGCCGACGACGGAAGCTGCGGCGATGAGGGAGACGGGGTCAGGACCGAGGGCGGCCGGCGAATGGTCAGCCCGGTGAAGCTGGACAGGCTGCCGGTATCGCCGCCGGACCCGGTGGGACCGCCCTTGTCATACTCGAAGAGCTCCAGCCGGCCCTCCTTGGTGATGCTAGCATTGACAAGGCGCCAGTTGGATCCGACATCCAGAGAGGCCTGGCTGCCGGATGAGCCGCCGAGGATGGCCGGCCGCGCGCGGCCGGTCAGGCGCCGACGCGCGCCACCCGACCCGGTCGGCCGGTTGACAAACAGGTCGCCAATCTTATAGTAGACGTGGTCCTCGGGACGCTCGATCTGTGCATCGGGTGATTGGGGGGGGGGGGGGGGGGGGGGGGGGGGGGGGGGAAGATTGGTGAGTGAGGGGAGAAAAGGAGAGGGGGGGGAGGGGGGTGGAGGACGAGAGTGAACGACAGAGATATTAGAAACTGGGCGCTTGGAAGAGTGGACGGGGAAAGACCGAGGCCCGAGCGCGGCCGGCGGAAGGAGACGCACCATGCGGGACTCGGAACTCTGGGCGGTGGCCGTGGAGGACTGAGAAGCAATGCTGGCCGAGCGGCGGAGGGCCGAGCCGGCCGGGTCGGACTCCGGCTTGCCGAGGGTCATCTCGGCCAATTTGATGGCCCGAGTCAGGGCAAACAGCCACTCATACATGTCACCCTCGGTCAGAGCCTGGAGATAGTAGCTGATGGTGCTGCTGCCGGCGCCAGATGGAGCAGAGTGGACCTCGAAAACGTAGCCCCGGTCGTCCATGACATCCACCGCGCGGACGGTGGCCCCACGCAGGTACACTGCCACGACGGTGGTGGGCTCGTTGTTGCGGGGGGAGATGTACTCCAGGCGGTAGTCATGAAGGTTGATCTGGAAGAAGCGCCGGTTCCAGTGGCGAATGGCGCCACTGCCGCGCTTGAACAGGTAGCCACCCTTCTCGAGGCCGACGGATGGCAGGTCCACCCCCTCGGCGGTGCCGCGGTTCAGATGCCCGACCGCCTGCTTCAGGTGATCCAGGTACGTGTGAGTGGGGGTGATATACCGCTCGAAGGCGCGGAGGCCGGTGTCGAGGAAGCGCTGCCGGCGCTGGGCCTGGGTGGTGCGCTCCTGCTCGACTTCGTGGTTGACCTGCTGAAGCTCCATCGACACGGAGGCCACATACTCCGAGTGGTCGGACAGAGCGGCGTATGCCGAGGAATGGTAGGTGTCGAGGGAATCCCAGTACTTGACAACCTGCGTGTTGGTGGATGCGCTCGAGGAGGTGAGTCGGCCGGCCGGGGCAAAAAAGAGGAGACGCGAAAGAGATGAGCAAGGGACACGCACCGCCTGCAGGAGGGTATGGCGCCGGGTTGAGTGGATGTAATTCAGGAGGTCGATGTACTCAAGAGAGGTGGCATAGTAATCGGAGTGGGAGAAGCGAATTTTGCGGAGAAGCTGCCATTATCGAAGGATGCGCGGGGCGGGAGCAGGGGGGGGGGGGGG